TAAAACTCCGGCTCCGGATTTAAAAAATATGGACTCCAACATTAGCGAATAATTCCACTATTCCGAAAATTCCGTAAAACCGCATTTGTAACGAAAAACCACACTAAGCTCTCGAGCGTTCAAGTATCCGCATAAGAGAGCTATTGTGTGGGGTTGTATCGAGTAATTCTAGACTGTGACGATCGCTGGAAATAAACTTTTGGGGTGAATTTTTGTGGCCACGTGAATTTAGAATGTTTTAATTGAATTCTTTTGTCAGTACTGTATTGAGGGGAGCAATCAGCATTAATGATCTTTTCCAACGTTTATTTCCTGGAAGGACTCGGATATGCCGCACTTTATATTAATATGTTTTTTTACCCCCCGCACGAGAGAGGCCGGAATTACTGGCAAATTCAACAGCGTTAATTTAGGATAAATGTGAATAACAACAAAACTAAAGAGGACGTATTGTCGCGCCATGGCACGGTATTGGAAAAGCGCGATATTGTATAATGTTTAGTCTATATTTATATCGTGTTTCTGAGGGGGGGCGGGGGGGGGGGTCTCGACTTAATTTATCTGACCCTAATTTGAATCAAGTGAACTGAGCATAAAATTTGGCGGAATTAGTGGTGAAAAATAGCAAGATAAAAACACGTGGATCTTTTGTACAAAACTCCTAGCCAAAAAAGCACCCGCGCCATCCCTCAAAATTTAAAAAAAGATACGTTAGAGTCGCGAATGTAGATTGCGATGGAAATTCAAGTATTTAAAACATTCTTAACTCCTACTGGATAATGACTAATTTGGTATTAAAAGAGGTGGCGTGAGTATTTTTCTCAAATCTTACATGTTTGCATTAGTGACAAGACAGTATATATACTCTCGTATATTCTTATATATCGATGGAATTACCATAAAACTCATTCCGGTTCCGTTGGAATTAAAATTGAGGTCAGGAAGAATTTGAACATTTTGAAAATTTTGAAATTTGAAAATAAGAATTTCTGAATTCCGAATTCTAGCTGCATAATTACTAATTTTCTTATTTTGGGTTCGGGAGTGTTTTTTGGCGGGAACTTTGTACAAAAGATTCATACTCTGTTACATTCTTAGAATCGATGTATTTACCATAAATCCTTTCGGTTCACTCGCTCGATTAAATTTGAAATTTCACAAAATAGCGGGTAGTCGCTTGTGCAAGACGCTCTTTAAAACCCGCATTGGTTTGGCAATGGAAATCAAAATGGCGGATTGGCGCCAAAACTACGAGTTTGGCGGGAACAATTATGCTGTCACAATGTGACGATGGATTGTAGCGGAGGTAATTATGACGTGACACTCGATACATTCGATCAATAAACATACTTGACATTGGCATTCACCCAGCTGTGCAGCTAAAAATAACAGAAGTTTTATTACATTTTTAGAAAACCTAACCGCATTATTTTAAAATGCACGAAACATCCATCAAACCCCCCTCCCCCCCCCCCTCGCAAAAAAAGTTGAAGTTCCCCAATATCGGCGATATAAGATAAGTGCACTGGGAATAATTGATTTCGAGAATTTATCAAAACCTTTGCGATTCCGGAAAGTCGGAAAGACAAAAACACAGACACGCACAGACAAAAATTTTAATTTTATGTGACTTCAAGTTGGCAAGATCCGGTAACTAACAACTAATTTCGTTGGAATTGATTTAAAAAATAATACCAATTGCCGTTTACATATTTCATACGATTATTTTATTGAAACGACATTTCAATTTTGTTATATAAGATTAATAATACTAATATTAATGCGCGACTTCAGCGAAAAATTCAATTTTGTTACGATCCGGAAAATTAACAGCGGGCCCGTCACACGTCCAATATCGGCAAGATTCGACAGCTATACCAAGAATAATTTATTCAAAAAAAACTCAAATTTTTGCTATTCAAAGAGCGGTGCCGAAGAAAAGTATTTATGAAGCACTAGAATATAGTTTTTTTAAATAAAAATCACTTCTCTAAGAGTGGAAAAAAAAGTTCTGGAAAAAATTTTCATATTGCATAAGCTCATTTCCCCTAATAAAACAGTATTTCCATTTTATTATATAAAATAAATAGGAAAAAAAACATATACGCGACATCGACGAACTTTTTGCAAAGATTTAATAAATCACAGCAAAGCATTTACAAGCAACAACCATTGTAGCCACAAACACGCCAAAGCAAACTCGAGTTTGACCTTCGAACCCGTTCTGGATGACTTAAGATATGTTACTACCGCAACAGCTGTGCCAAACGCTTTGCCAAACCCTCTGTGGGATTTGTAAAGGCCAGTATGTGCAGTTAAAATAAGAATATAAACCATGATTTAATGGAATAGATCCAGAGTTCCGTTCTTTAAGAGAATTTGCTCTTTAAGAGAATTGACTCATCTGCGAGAAAAGTTACAAGCACTCACTAAGAAGTAAAGGATACTCATATCTGAGCAAAGATACGGGCACTCATTAGGAGGTAAAAAAGACTCGCTTCTGAGCATACCGAGTAATGGTAAAGCATTTTTCATGAACCGGTACCAAAGAAAAGTACACGTAAAGCACCAGAATATAGCTTTTTTTACTTGTGGAAGTAGAAAAAAACTTCTGGCAATCATTCTCAAATCGTGTTGGTATTTTCACAATGTTACCTGAACGCTATTTTTAGATTTTGGTTCGAAATTTCGAAACGTGTCTCGGATGTTTGTGTCAGTATGTCTGATGAAGTTCAATATCTTTAGAGTTTCGATTCCAGATTGGTAACTTCCGGAAGTGATGCATACAGGAACAATAAAGTTGCTATTAGAAACACGTAAACACGACAACACGCTGGGATTTTTTATTTGTCAGAAGTGGCGTGCAGCAGAACAAAAGTGTTGCTATTAGAAACCATGACCGAACAATATGTACGTTTTTTCACCCCTTTCAAACGTCTAAAGTAAAACAACGCGTCACACCAAGACATCCAGTTGGGCCAGTTTTCTGTATACACAACAAATTAAATAATTAGCGACAACCAAAGATCCGCGTTAAAGGCAAGAGAAGAGAATGCGCCTATCGCTTAGACTTAGAGTAATGAAGACACCAGGCAAAACGGTGAAAGATTTAACATAGCGACAAGAGAAAAAAACATTATGTATTGTTACCCACGCCTTTTTAAGCATAAAATGTCGGATTAGGATTTGATGTTTGATGGGGAAAAACCTGAGTGTTGACAAGGACCACACTAAATGGCTTAGCGGGCTGGATTGTGGCCCGCGGGCCGCCTGTTGAACACCCCGTGATTGCTTGTGGGAAGGGTACTCCCGTAGTATGTGTACCAGGTTAGGGTTAGGCCATAATTTTATTCCGATTTTCCTTATTTTATTTCTATCACGAGTTTGGTGACTGTCTGTGTTAGCCAAGTAAATATATGCCCTGGACATAGATTTCCGTCCCTTTACATAACTTGATGAAAAGTAGGCAAACAAAATTAGTTACCTCCATATTGATACACACACTTCTGGAACGCCATGGAAAGCCGTATTTACGGTAAAAATGTCGAAAAAAAAACGATCGAACGTTAGGACATCAAAACAACAACACGAACGTGATTAATTGAGTACCGACATACGGAACAAAACGTCACTTCCGTGCCAAATTGGCTGTAATTGAACATTTTTACTGAGAATTTCCATCTATTTTGGCACGATGTGTACGCGGGGAAAACCCGATTTCATTTGATCGATTATCACGCGTAATACACAAAGACATTTTTAGCAAAAATTTGAATAAATATCGATTAAAAATGGCCACAATTCTAAGAACTGAAAATTAAAAAAATGTTAAATTTACTACAATCTTATGGTAAAACGATTAACGATTAAAATGATTTTTGCGGAAGGTGAAAAAAAGTGGAGCCGTGAAAGGGAGCAATGATCAAGTATATGAACGCGGAGGGCATATGTCAAGACAGTGTCTCTATATGAGCTTATAAAAAACATTAAAATTTCGGGTGGTGTTCAAAAACAAAAGTAAACGCCTGAAGGAATGCAAATTTGAAACCGATCGATTTATTAAATGCGTAGAAATGGGCGCTCCGGAAGTATTTGTACCAAGATGACGCACAGCCTAAACAACCCTACCCTGTAACACATACTATGTTCAGGTTGTGCGCCATCTTGGTACGAATAATTCGAGATCACCTAGAAATGCAATTTTTATTCACGACAACACATACCGATCAACGGCAAAACATCAACATATGTACACTTTTGTGTCCTTGAAACTGAATCGTGAAGCCGAGTTATTTAGTCACTCTAAGCAACATTTGTTTTGATCTGTGGTTTTTAACCCTTTATGGCTCGTGGCACCTTTTGGAGGCTTTTAGCACCCAGGGCACCCTGTTTATCATTCCAGTGGTATTTAGAGTGTTATTTTGCTTAGTAGATTCCAAATCTCATTATGTTCAAACAATTCATGCACAACAAAGTCAAAACACCTTATGAAGTAACTTTATCAAGCAATGAAACTAGCAAGAACATGGAGTTTTCTAGGGAAAAGAAAAGTAAAATCAGTTTGCGCCTAGTATCTATGTGGCCCCCAGTTCACAACGATAGATATATGCATACTTCGTGTTCTAAATCTAGATAGTATATGCGGGCTGTTTTGTTACTGAATGCAACGTTCGTTTTAGTCAAAATCCCCAAATGGGGGGGGGGGGGGGGGGTTTTGCCGTTTTTTCGGGAAGAATTTTATCGTTTTTTTGGGGGGGGGGGGGAGTTTGTTTTGTATCCACCGTAGTATTACTTGTATTCTTTAGTTCTTTACTAATATTATACTCATACGAGGCCTTGATTTGACTTGTTATTTTATCTCTACTCTCCGTCCCGCGAAATCCGTTCCGAAACAGTTAAGACCGTTCCTGCGTGGTTTACCATATTGGCTTTCTTTTTCCATGGAATATTTATGAAAAATATCCATTTCAACTTCCTATATAACTTCCTATATCACTGACCTTTAACATCATCTTCACGTAATACTTCGTCATCGTCTCGATTGCCTTCTTCAGTTGATTCTAAATATTTAAAAATAAATGTCGGGTTAAAAAACAACTTTGACTCCGACTACCACCATTATACAAAATTAGTGTATGAACTTTATTTTATTGCAGTTCAAATTTACTACACTGACTGTAGTATATTGGAATTCGGGGACCGGACAATTAAAATTTTTGACTCCGACCACAGCAAAGTACTTTTTTTGGATTCGTCAAAGATATAACCTAAAAAACACTCCTCGAAGTAGCGTCCGATTGCTATACTGTTGTAGCACAGGATTAATTTTCCCGCGTGTTTTCTTTTATTCCGTTCATCTTACCATAGGCGAGGTCAGAATAAGTTGGGTTAGGTTATTGTCACGCGTTCTAAGTAGTCGGCCGGCAAAGTCTTTGAGTGAGGTCCAAATATTACAATGAAAAAGTTGTAAGGCCGGAAAACCATCACGTTGGTGACAACTTAGCTTGTCTCGGCCAACATTTCCTTCAATACAGGAGGACCAAACACAAATAAGTGGGTGCTCCAGAAGTATGCGCACCGAGATGTCGCACAACCTGAATCCTAACCGGTACACACACACACTATGTTCAGGTTGTGCGCCATCTTGGTGCGAATACTTCTGGAATAAGTGGGTGAAACCGCGGGCGGCACTTTCATATAATATAGGGTTCCTAGCAGTTGCAGGCACAAAAACTTTGGTTATTGGTCTTATGGCATACGTTGTTTGCACAAGCTCGAGAATAGGCTTTGCAAAGCAAATGAATTGAAATTACCTGCACGCACTAGATTAAACTGAATTATACAGGAACCATAAAAAGCACTAGAATTAAAATTCGTTTTGCGGGCCAAACGCCATTCAAAATTGACAATTCTCCGCGGGCCTGTGGTCCGCAGGTTGCCCGTGGGCCGCTGTTTGCACACCCATGGTCTGGGAAATGTTCGGCGGCCAACAGGGTATGAAGGAATGTACTAGCTTAGTTGTCGGCATCGTTGAGGCCCGAATAATAAAAGGGAAAAAGTTTCAAGGTGTATCAATTTGTTGGAAATTCTAAATGTACTCACGTATTAATTTTGGTAAAGGACATTTAATTTGTAATCAAAACTAGTGCAAACGTACCGATACACGTGGCGGTACAAAGATGGAACAACCGAGGACGTTCCAGAAATACGTACACACCGATATGGAGGTAACTAATTTTGTTCGCCTACTTTACATCAAGTTGTGCAAAGAGACCGAAACCTATGTGCAGGGGTAAGGTCTAACCCGAACACATACTACGGGAGTACCCAACCGAGAGTAGTGGTACACCTCGTTAGCTTGTGGAATGAAAAAAAACGGATACGCAAGAATGAACAGACCAGAATAGTTGCAATGACGGTACTATAGTTGAAATTAACGTCGATTGTTTGTTATATAAACAAAAATCATTTAGAAGCAAAAAAATGAAATATAATGTTGGACTGTTTTTGTGTATCAATGCAATATTTAAAATTGATTAGAAGAAGCTCACTAGAAAATGCCTGGCATGACCGAACCGAACCCAGAATTAAAGAGGCGGAACAATAACCGGATAGTACTCCGGCTCTAAAACAACTAAAAAACGACTCCAATATTCACCAACATGAAAAGCCACACCCACCTTCATGCCGAACGTGACTGGCCAGATATAAATCCAGTTCTTTAATGGTGATGCTGATATGATAAGGCTGAACACACAAACCAGCATTGTGGCCGCAATGAGGAGATTTACTCAACCGTTCGCCGTCTGTTGATTCAAGGGGGATTCCCCGGAAAAGAATTACCATCACCAAATCGAGTCGCCAGACCTGAAAATATAATTTTTAAATAATACTGTGGACGATGGCCTAGTGGTTAAAGTACGAAACCTAAAAATGTCGGCATTGCGAGGTAAAGTTATGGGTTCAAATCCCGTACCATACACCCGCAGTCAGTGCATTGATGATCGCAGACCTAAAAACTATGCTTGTTACCAAGGATGTAATGGATTCGGGACGCCCAGAACTGATATATTCCGGCCCTTTCAAACTATAGAAGCTATTTTTATGTAAGTGCATGTAAACGTCTTGTTCATAGCCGTGTTCGTAGTGAAAGACTAAAAGAGAGGGTATTTACTCGTTTGTCGTTTAATCCTATTGGCTACATATGCAACGTTTTTAGGCAGAACGGTACTCCCGTAGTATGTGAACCAAGATGGCGGACACCGGTACGTAGTATGTGTACCAGATTAGGGTTAGGCCATAATTTTAGGTACAAATACTACGGGAGTCACTTGGCTAGTCCCTGAAATCGTAATAACTAAAATAAGAAAAATTGAAATAAAATTATAACCAAACCCAAACCTGGTACACATACTACGTTCCGTGTTCGCCATCTTGGTTCACATACTACGGGAGTACCGGCAGAACAGGTTATAAAACCTAACATGGCCAGATTATGACATCATAGTATCAAAAGAAACGTCATAAATCAAATCGAAGCAACAGTACGAGCCAATAATGACGTCACTATTACAAAATGACATTGAAAGGCCGTGGGTCGTAAGGACGTGACAACATTGACGTCATCATCACAAAATGACGTCATAATGTGGGGCATAGTCATAAAGCGCATGTGGAAGTAGTGGCATCAAAGTTAGAAAATCTACGTGGCTCAATGCATGATAGCTCGAAATATTTTACAAGATAAACCCAATTAAAACTGAACGACAATTAAAATTCTTTGCAACGTTAATTATTATATCAAGAGATTTTAGGTTGCCAGATTGCATGTAATTACAGCAGCTTAATTATACACTATGATACACATATGTGTTTAAATACTCTGACTGATTATAAACTTTGGAAATAATTAAAAAGCGCTTGAAACTTCAAACGAAAATAAATCAAATAAAAATATAAATTATGTAACAGAAGAATTAGATCATTTGTCTGGTTTAAAATTCACAATTAAAGTTTTTATGCGACCCGTAGACAAGTTTTTGAGGGAATGTTAGCCTATTCAAAAATAAAAAATATTTGCTAGATTTTATCTTGCTCGACTTATTTTGGATATTTACATTTCAAAACTTTTCATTTATTTTTTATTTACGTTCCATCCATGTATTTTCAAGGTGTTTTTTTGAATAAAACATAATTTCGCCTTACTATCTGTTATTTGTTAGCTAGTTATTTTTAAGGCGGGAAGGAACTTTAAAGATTCTAAAAAAAGGTCGCGGATTAATAAGTTTGTGAACCATGGCGTGGGTTTCGTGAATAAACAGCCCAAAATTGTTGTTGAATCGAAGTCCTTCAAGCGATGAATTGGGGTTTCTGACGTCACAATAGGTTTTATGTCATCATAGATCGATTTTTTATTTTGAAAAAAAAATTAATATAGACCACGATATAAAATGCTATTTTGGGGTAAAAAGAGATTATTTATTATCTGTGGGGAAATAAATTAATAAATTTGCAAAAAAAATTTTCAAATTTCTTCACGCGTATACAATAAAAGGTAAAACAGTATTTAGCCAATTATTTTTTTGGAATTTCAACATTTTTTGTCTTGAAATATATATATCATATAGTCGCACTATAATATCTTGGGAATATAAACACATTTTTTAAAATGAGAATCCCCCCTGCTAAATTATGAATACTATTTGGACTTTTGCGTTATGGGAATTGGTGAAATACTTAGAAAAGGAAAAATGAATTTCGAAATTAATAACAAAGTCCAAAAAATATTTTCAGAAACTTTGAATTTTGTTTGAAATAATTTTCCAGAGCCTCTTACGACAAGGGTTCCATGAAAAACTTTCAACTGTATAATTTATAATTGTCGAGTTAAACCGTAACAACTCGCGGGTCCGGCCGGAAAAAATGGGATTTTTAAGAGTTACATAGGTCTAAGAAGCGCTTCAAGCCACGAAGTATTGTTATGTATCGTACAGAAATTTTTTTTTTTCGCATTTCAAAGAGTAAGATGGGTGTTCGACCAGCAAAACCACTTCGCTGGGTGCTCCCCGAGGGCAGCTTTCCCCTTATTCTTTATCACGAAACCGAAATAATTAAGTTTTTTCTGGTCAGCAATTACGAGATTTTCAAAAGGCAGGCTGAAGTCGGTTAGTTCATGGCCCGATTTGTTCGCCTTTTCGATAAAAACTTGATTTAATACTTGATAAATGATGAACGAAGTTTCCGGTAAACCTGTCACGAATCGAAAGTGAGAAGTCTAGTCATTGTCAAAGCTATCAACATGTCTCATCCGCGATAGCGCTTTATGTCAGAGAAAAATTGAGCAACGGAAAGCAAGAGATGCTCAAATATAAGGACACGAAAGCCAAAACGAAGTAGCATTGAATCTTTTACAGTACCGATAGTCTGGGCAATGCAGGCACGGAACCACGGCAAAAAACGCATTATTTAAATTTTAATGACGTTATCGCACACAAAATTCGAATTCAATAAAGCCCACAGAAATTTTAAAACTAAATAAAAGTTATAGCTTTCTAGCGAAAAGTCACTAAAAAACCACTGGAAATTTCAAAACTATTGGTACTGTGGTTGATGAGAAAAGCGATAGTTAGTCTTTCATCACAAGAAAAATACTAACAAGGAATGAAGAAGAACAACAACATAATGATAACAAAACGATCCATGGTTGTCTTTGGCAAATATTCAAATACCTTTCTGTAACAATGTTTTGTCACAAGAATTTACAATAAATTTGTGAAAAAAAATTTACACAAAATAACAATAAAAAATGTACTTTTTATGAGTAACAACAAGGAAATGAGCTTGAAAACTTTGGAACCTTTGAAAAATAGTGGGTTCTAGTAGTTCTACTTTAACTATTTTTTTCACGATATTCTCACGCCTTCTCTTGAAATAAAGTTTTGTGCAAGCACACACTATTAAGTAAGGAGTCACTATTATTCGAAAGAAACGAAACCTTTCCAGTCTGGCATTGCCTATACGATTTATGGATGTTTCCCCGACCTTTGACCCCGGGGAAATTCTTTTTATACTTTACTATTGCATTGGTTCCTATATTAAGAGTGATTTTGCGAGTTGGCGCCTATAAACTGGATTATATGTTTCAAACCATCATCCTGATCCAAAACATTTAACAATTTGATATCAAAATTGCAGTTACAAAAGTTTAGCCTTGTTCATCACAGCTATTTTAAGACTAATTTTTGATTGCTGCAATTGAACTAAAACTTTTAAGAGGTCGAAATGATCATTAAATGATTTGATTCATACTCAAATTTCCTGAACACAACTGAAAACTAATAAATAGCATTCAAAAATGCCAAAACGAGGTGTTTTACCCGGGATTTAAAATCTGCGATGTCATTATAGATAAAGTCCACGCTTCAACCACAACAAAAATGGCGCCGTTTTCAAGTCCACATCCAACGTGACAAAAAATGGTGCGAAATGATTATAAATGACATCGCGTGATATTTCCAGACGGCATATCAATTAATTAGGCTGATTAGACTTCATTTGTGAGAGCCGGACGCGTATTTTTTGTTAATTTTGACTTTTTTTATGGTTCCGCGTCACGTACGATGGAGTTCTTAGTATTATTTGGGCGCAAACATTGAAATTGTGAGCTGAACGTGAAACATGATCATTAAACTTGTGTTGACGTGACTCGGTACAAAATTGAACTAAATTTGAGTCCATTCTATGTCTATTGTCTATCTGTAACAAGAGTGTGCAACAAGCGTCCCGCGGGCCACAACCAGGCCCGCCAAGGTATTTAGTGTCGTCCTTGTCAACACACAGAATTTTGTCCGTCAAGCATAAAATCCCAATCCGACAGTTTAAAGGCGCTCAAAATACATAACATAAAAATACTTACTACGTTTCCAAATTTAAGAGGGGGGGGGGGGGGGGGGTGATTACTTGCTATTAGTTATTAATCTATTGGTAACTTGAAAAAGTTTGTCATGTATAAGTCATACATGCTTCTTTCTGCATAAACACAATTGAATTTAAGTCAGAAGTTAAAGTGCATTTTCAGACCTCAAGATTAAGGGGGGCGGGAGAGGGGGGATATTGAAATTTTGGCGGGGCTGAACCCCCCATGAGGCGAGCGTAGGGAACTCATTGGCAGCTGTTATCTCACGAAAGCACTCATTTTATTAGTATATGACATGTGTTTTCTAGAGAAAAAGGCGAATATCCGTTGTTGACTTGAACGCGGAAGCGCGTCGCGTAAGCTATTTAGACAAATTTTTTTAGTTGGAAAATGATGACCCTTGACCCATGGCGTTAGAGAAATTTCATTGGTTTCGTTTGTTACAATAAACATAGCGGTTCCGCATATATCAGTGAATGGAATTGACTTTGAATAATTTAACTCTTTCGAGTCGTCGATTTTAGAAAACAAATATCTAATACTGGCCTTAATTAATATTAAATTATGTGAAAATTCCGAAATTCGCAAAATCCGGCCTTGTATGTTTTGGGAGAACTTGCTCAAAGATATTTCACTCAAAGAGATTTATCTCTAAGCAAAGTTACGGTCGACCACGAATTGCCAAGAGCTTCTGAAACTATTTAAAATTATGGCACTGAATTGCGCGCCAGCAATTTCGAATTGACACAAGACTGGAAGAAGTCAATTCGGTCGGGAAATCAGCCAAGAAGTCCCAAATTCCGCGTAAGTTAAGTTTTGGGGCTGAAATCGAACCCAAATACTTTACGGAATCGAATCGTATTCAAAAAACAATTAAGAACCGCATTTGGATTTTTTCACAAAAAATCTCGAAAATTTGAACTTGAAGACGAAATTCGAGAAAGATTGTGTT